AAACGTCAGCTTTCCTGCTCCTCTGATGCTGCTTGGCCTGCTGTGCTCATCCAGCTCTACACCTTGTTATCTCAGATTCCCCAGCATCTGCAGTTCCTACTATCTTTAAAGTCTTAGAAATATTTTTATGCAATCTAACAAGATTAATCAATAATCCATCAATATTGGGAAGAGTGATCATAATCTGGTGAAATTTTATATTGTGTTGGAGAGTGATTTAGTTAATTTGGAACCTTGGATCTCAAATCTGAACAAAGTAATTTGGGAAAGTATGAAAACCTAATTGGCCAAGGTTGATTGGGACACAACATTAGTAAATAGGATGATGAATAACAAAGGCAAAAATTTAGATAATTAATTCATGTTTCACAATAAATTGCATTGTCTTAAAGAATCAAAACCTCAGGGGAAAGCTGTGGCTAATAAAATGAGTTCAAAAGTCATATCAAATTAAAGAAAGGGGCTTCTGTCATTGACAAAGGAAATATTAAGTTTAGGAATTCTAGAAATGATCTAAGGAAGCCAGACAAGCGAGAAAAGCAAATAGGATTTGACAGTAAGTTAATGAGAGACACAAAAATAGATTGTAACAACCTCAATAGGTATGTCAGAATGAAGAGATTAGTGCGAATATACGTGAGTCTCTGAGAGGCAGAGTTGGAGAAATTGTAATGACAGGACCATTAATTGAATATTTTCTGTCTTCTCAGTAAAAGACCCAAAAGCATTCCAAAAGTAATGGAGAACTAAAAGTCTAGTAAAACTGAGGAACATTAGTGAATTAATAAAGAAATACAACAGGGCAAATTAATGGACTTAAAATCCACTGAAATTAAAAGCCTATATCTTAGTTAAAAAAAAGCAATTGCAGAGACAGCGGACACATTAGTTGTGATCTCCTAGATTTCTTTAAGTTCTGAAACAGTTTCCATGGAAAATAGGAAACCTAGCCCTGTACTGAAGAAAAGAAGGACAAAGAAAATTAGGAATTATTTGTCATTAACCAGGGAACATAGTAAAATCTATTATTGGAGAGTTGTTAGAGAAGCAATTATCATGCAGAATCAACATGGATTTATCAAAGGCAAGTTCAGAAATCAGACAGTAGGAATAAATGAATGATTTTCTAAATGACAGGCTGTAACTAGTGGGATACCATACATTTCAGTGCTTGGATCTTAGGTGTTTACAATCTACATCAATGATTTGGATGATGCGATGATATGTAATATTTCAAAGTTTGGCTATCTATACAAAATTAGCTGGACAAGTAAGCTATAAGAAACAAGGACATTACAACAGTGTATAAATGGGTTAAGTAAGTGGAGAACTACATGGCAGCTGAAATTTGATGTGTAGAAATGTGAAGTTGTCTATTTTGGTTAGAAAAACAGAAGTTTTTTCAATTGTGAGACAAGGATAAACATTTGCATTCAAAGGGATTTTGGGGGTTCTTGCACACAAATCACAGAAAGTTTGCATGCAGGTACAGGAATTAGCAAAGCAAATGGTATGTTAGCAATTGGAGTATAAATGTAAACACATCTAATTGCAATTCCATATGGCTTTAGTAAGACCACACATGGATTCTACTGCTCTAGTGTGATCTACAGAGGAATCATTTGGGAAAATTCCTGTTAGTACTTCAACTTTAGTACTGCTCTGAAGTGAAAATCTTTCACTTTAACACTATTATTGGTGCAGTGTCTTCCAAGAATTTTCAAGTCTGCTCTGTTGCTAAAAAAAGAGCATTTTGTTGCAAAACCAGTTATTAATTACTAAAATAAATCATAATCATTCATATGTATATCTTGTTTCACTGCAGAAAGGAACTGAGGCACACCAAGTTCTTAAGGAAGTAAGACAACCAAGCTTAAAAATAATGAAGACTTTGCAAATTGAGAAAGCCACTCTGGAAGATACTGGACTCTATGAATGTTCTGTGTTACATGCAACTCAAGATACCAAGAAATTAAAACAGGTTCACATCCATGTTAGTGGTGGGTATAAATTACTATGGAATTACATATTTATTTCTCTCTGTTATATATTCTAATGCATGTCCATGTGCAAATAACCACACATTTACAAGGGGTGTTCTTTGAAAAGTTTTTAAATATATACCTCACATAAGACACATTTTGGTACAATTTTCAGATGTGATGAAAGATTTTGGGATTTAGATTTAAAATTCAACTGAATACAATAGAAATGAGCTATTACTAGGAACTAAAAATCATGTGGTCATCTCCTCCCCCCATCCCCATAAACACCTTCAACACCCCACAACCTTATGAATTGAGATGTACACTACTGTGAGCTTATACCATTGAATGGGAATGAGGGGGATATGAGAGATTTCTGGCCATTTCCTCTCTACATCCATTGGCAATCCTGTGAGGCAGACTTACAAGGCGAAAAATATTGTCTTTAGGAAATATTTTGTGATCAAATTTCCTAAAATCCAGATTTTCTGCTGTAGCCAAGTAGGTAGAAGAAAAAAAGACATAGTGTGAGAGTTGCTTTCAGAAAGGGGAAAGAGCCAAATCAGAAGTGACCAAATGTTTGCTCTGTTGGCTCACTGAAAGGCTTCTGCTATAAACAGATCTATCTAATAACCAGAAGAAAGGACACCTTCACCTAATAAACCAGTTTAATAATGCAATATTACACTTGGTAACAGCTTGGTATGAACTTAAGGAAATGAGGAGCAGGGATAAATACAAGGTGCCCATTAACGTTGTTCCAAATAAGCTTCAAAGTCCAAACACCATTGATACATTCTCTAACAGCGTAATCTTCTGTAAAATTCTACATTTTTGTAACACGGGATTTCAGCATTTTTGCGCATTGTTTTAGATGATATCCAGAATTTGTTTCAAAGTCAAACCAATGGCAAGAAGAAAGGTATTTCCAATATCAGGTGTAAGTCATAGCTGTCTGGGTAGCACTGTTATTTTTTAATTTGAAGTTTATGAATTCAAATCCCACTCCAGAGTGTTGAGCATGCCACCTAGGTGGATACTTTGGTGCAGTGCTGAGGAAGTATTGCACTGTATTTCAGATAGGATGTTCAATTGAGGCCCTGCTCAACTATCGTAAAAGATCCCATCACACTATTGTGCATATTTATCTCGCAATGAACAGCACCAAAACAATATATCAGGTCATGGGCTGTCTGTGGGAGATTGTTGTGTGCAAATTTGCTGCGATCTTTCTTACATTGGAACAGTGTCTTCCAAAATATTTAATTGACTATAAATGTTTTTGGACGTCTTGAGATTGTGTGAGTGAATCAAAATAACATATGCAATTTGTTATTTCGAGAAAATGCAAAGTGAAGTGAGATTGAGGTGCAATCCTGATGAATGTTATGCCAAGTGTTGGACAGAAGAAACAAATGTGTTTTAATGCAATGGTGGACATTGGGGTTTCTGAACGAGGCATGGACTACTCAAAGTACTTAATGGGCAAGCCCTATTTGATTTTGCTCTAAAATGATAGTTAGTGGACACGCTAATTCACCGGTTTAAAAAAAACTATATTGCAGAGAATTACAGTAAGTTTTACTGGACTGATGTGGTTTATTTGCCTGCCATGTTTTTCATTCCCCCAGACAAAGGATTTATTAATTTGGATCCCAACTATGGGACAGAAGAATTTGCAGACCTACATGAAGTCAAGCAGTTTGTGGTGAACATTGAGGCTTATCCAGAGCCCACTGTATCATGGCTGAAAGACAATATCACCTTGCAAGAAGATAACAACGAGGTGATGATCAACACAGTAAAAATCCAGGAAATTAGGTAAAGCAGAAGTCACACAACAGCATAAGTCCAATACATAGTCAAACACACAATAAATTTTCTGGAAGAAATCTATGCAAACTATTTATCTTTTACATCACTGATAATTCTTTGGGATTATGTCATCAGAACATGAGAAATAGGGGCAGGAGCAAGTCATTAAGCCCTTTGAGTTCGCTCAATAACATTCATTAAGAGCATGACTGACCATTCACTTCAACTCCATTTTCTCATGCTATCCCCTTATCCTTTGATTGCCTTAGTACGTAAAACTGATTTTTGTTTTTCATGTACTCACCGACTGAACATCTACAGCTCTTTACAGTAATAGAATTCCGAAGTTTTACAGTTAGAAATTTCTTCTTAGCTTTACCCTAAATATCTGAGACTATACTCCCTAATTCTAGACTCACAAGCACAGGTATTCAGCATCTCAGTGTCTACCCTGTCTGTCTCGCTCAGAGTTGTATGCGCTTCATACTTTTCTAAACTCAGGCATTAACTATTAATAGTACTCTGACCTCTGAGTGAGAAAATCATGGATTCAAGCTCCACTTCAGATAATTCAACAGAAGATCTAGGTGAACAGTACTGATGACATGCTACACTATCAGGGTTGTTGATTTTCAATTTGGATTTTAAACCATGGCTTCATTTGCCCTCTCAGGTGGGGCATGAGGTTCCTATTCCTAAAAGTGGTATTTTGAAGCCGGAAATTCTTCTTCTTGCCATTTATCCAACAATTAAACTCAGATTATCAGATCATTTATCTCATTTGACTTTGTGTACGACTTTGTGTGAAAATGGTCTGCTCTGCTTTCTGATATTGGAGCAGTGCCAACATCCTGAGCTCACTCTAAGCTGCATGTCTGCACTAAGAAAAGGAAATTTTCAGCTTTGTCAGTTTACTAACTCCTTATTTGCTATTTGATTCTTATTTTATCCAGGTATCAAAGTAACCTGACCTTAATTCGTGCAAAGAAACAAGACAGTGGTGCTTACACTATTGTTGTTAAAAATGAAGATAATAGTACCAATCATACATTTTACTTACAGGTTAAAGGTAAGTGCACAGACTCCAGTATGTTCTTTAACTAGTCAATATTCATAGTACCTGTTTTAATGCTAGGCAATGCTAATGTTAATATTTAAGGTAGCGGTAGTTCCAAATTTAGAAGGTTAAGCTTACAGATGCATAATGCTGATAATCTTAAAATACTCAAACACTGGAACTACATTAGCACTTCAACCAAAGTTTAAAAAGAAATGTGTCAGTTACAGAGCAATTTTCAGAAAAGGTCAGATTAGTTTGAACTGCCAATGGGTTTCAGGCAGGGGCATGTGCAAAATGCTTTCGCTGCTCTAAGTTTGAGGCCCAGGCCCATGCCACTGATAAGCTGCCCTGCCTGAAACAGCCAGCACTAAATGAAAAGTTGTCATCATATAGGCAAGCTGTGGGAAAGGATTCTCAGAGGGTTCTAAGGGATTACAGGGGAATGGGAAGATGTGGGACAGTAAAGGCAGTAACTCTCTTGTGGGGCTTGAAGGAGCACTTCTACTTCTCCAGGTCACACTTAAGAAGGATTTTACTTTAACTTTGGATCTTCTGCTCGTCCCTTTTCAAAAACTGCTGATCTGCTTTCAGTCAGTGGATCTGGGTTAAATGCAACCACAGGGTCCCACACTGTCTGATGTGAATTTGTGAGGCCTGTGTCTACATAATCCTCTCCATTAGGCTGACAGGAAAGGGGTGACTGTCAGGAAGGTAATCGACCAGCACAGTTTTAATTACAAGCTTACCAGTTCCTTGAGTTAGATTTAAATTGATCTGAGTGGGTTCACTGCTTAGTTCTGACATTCGTTCTCATATTTTTTTTAGATTTTCCTAGCTATGTTAATAGGTTGTGTGTCATGTTCAAGTAAACTCTAAGAATAAAAGAGCAAAATGTGGCGAGAGTCTTATTTCATTCATGATCCAAGGTCTTTGACATTATGCCTTATTGATCTTTGTGTGAGATAGCTGATATTCTAAAGATTCTGTGTAGGTGACCCTTATGAACTGTGAGTAATTATTGGCAATTCCCCATGTCACTTATATCCTTAATGATGTTAGTGCAGAGTAAAATGCTGTGGATCAGATTGTATTTTGGCAGACAAGTGCAGATCAAACGTTTTCATGTCATTTTGTTTATTCTTTTACAGTGCCTGCAAAAATCATCAATCTTGTTGATGTCCACCATGGTTCTGCAAGTGGCCAGATAGTTTCATGTTCAGCAGATGGGACACCAAGCCCAGAGGTTGAATGGCTGATATGTACAGACTTAAAAAAGTGAGGACTTAATCATTCAATCATGCAGCATATCTAAGTGAGGAAAAAAGTTTCTTTGAATAAAAAAATTCCAGTTCCCTTAATTATCACTCAGTTAGAAGAAAAAATGAAATTTTTCAGTAGGGAGAAGTATTTCCCTCATTGCCCCTAAGCAAATGGCATATTAATTGTTTTCGGATATTATAAATTTCCAAAGAGTAATGGAATGAAAATATGACTAAAAATCTTTGTGTCTTACTATAGGTGTGCTAATGACTCATTGCTCTGGAATGTTCTCCACAACAATTCCAGTGATATCAGTATTGAGACCCATCAGACCAAGAAAAATACTATAGAAAGCAAGCTGACCTTTCAGAAAGTTGATAACACAGTGGCTGTGAGATGCATTGCAAAGAATGAACTTGCAGCCGTTGCACGTGAAGTCAAACTGGTGGCTCACAGTAAGTAAGGGTTTCTGTTCTATTCCATCTCAAACAGTGGCTCAATGTTTACTGTGAATAGTCCAATGTGTGGCATAATTCATTTCAATAAAGTCCATTTTAGAACGCTTCTTTTCTTTGGATGTGGTTTCAGGATATAAATACCATGCAAAGTTGTGCGCTCAGGCAAACTGCATGGGGGATGAACCTGAGGCTGTAATTCATGAAACATTTATAGTCTAGGATCTTGTCATGAGTCTGATTCAAAAGTGTTGAGTTGCAAGAGCTGGGACAATTTAACATGAAACAAAGTCACACTTTGTAAAAGGCTTTGTTTTGCCTATGTCAAAAACATGTGTCTACTTTTGCAGTCTGCTCCCGCAACTCCATATAGGAAATGTCTGGTGGTGGGAGTTGGCTTCAGCATTAGAGCTTTTATTATTATAGTTTAATGATTGAAAAATAAAATGTCATTCATAGAATGTGGATTTTGCTGGCTAGTCTAGCTTTTATTGCCCATCCCTAGTTGCCCTTGAAAAGATGGTGGTGAGCTGCCTTCTTGCACTGCTGCAGTCCATTGTTGTATGAAGACCCACAATGTCTTTAGGGAGAGAGGGACTCTGAAGGAACAGTGATATATTTCCAGGACAGTAAGTGGCTTAGAGGTGAACTTGCAGCTGGTGGCAGCCCCATGCATCTGCTGCCCTTGTTCTTCTTTCTATAATGGTAATGGTCCAGGGTGTGGAAGATGCTGTCTAAGGTGCCTTGGTGAATTTCTGCAGTGCATCTTGTATTTCGAGACTTTTTAAAGACATTGATTTTAAAGGGTTTTTTTTGAGCTTTCTAAAATAAGTCCGAGATAGTCTCTGTCAACTGGATAAGTTATTAAACTTTAGCAAACCCAAACTTGACTGCTTGTATCCAACTTGCACTAAATTCCAGTTTCCCCCAGTGCCAAGGTCACTACAATGGTTCTCATTCTTGCACCATCTCATTTCTATTAGTTTTCACTCCTTGAAGCTGAATTATCATTTGCCTGGAAACACCTTGCTTCAACATGTCTGTTATACCCTTACTCATCAGAAACAGTTAGAAAAAGGAAGTGATACACGTTGTGCTCTTCTTAAACCTGAATTGGAAAAGCCAAGTTCCACTAATAGGATAAAGTCATGATGTGTTAAAATTCATGAAGTTCTCTTCAGAGAACAAGGAAAATTAATGAATTTGGAAATCCTGGCCAAATAAATAGAATACACTTTGAGTTTTGGCTGCTGGGCAATCACAGACAACTCAGATTTAGCCTAACATTTAGTTTTTTTACCTGGTAGTGTGTCTATTGAGAAGTGGAAGATAACCTTCAGAAGACCATATAATGTAGGAGTAGAATTAGGCCATTCGGCCCCTCGTATCTCCTCCGCCATTCGATCATGGTTGATATGTTTCTCAACTCCATTCTCCTGCCTTCTCCCTGTAACCCTTAATTCCCTTACCAATCAAGAACCTAGCTATCTCTGTCTTAATTGCACTCAACTGCTTTGCTTCCACAGCCGTCTGTGGCAATCTTAACTGAAAGCAAGATACTATGTTTTCGTCATGCAAAATGTATATCGATGATAAGTCAGAGAACGTTAGTCATCATATGTAGTTTGTCAGCTGCTGACTCCCTTTCTAAAACCAAGTGTAGGACATTTCATTTAAGTACATGCCACAATTAAGCTAGAAACCGTTGTATGCAGTGTGCATCACCATCAATTTCTGTGTATTCAGCCATTCTATCAACTAAGCAACAGATAACTTTGCTTTTATTTTTTGAAATCCCTGTTGAATTTTCTCCATTTCTAACAAATCAGTTCAGTATTTGCTAAATATAAAAATGACAGTCAATTTCAATTGATCTATGATTACAACAAGGCATAGGGGATTCAAGGGCAGCCAGTATGCGTTATTCACAGTGAATCTCCAATATTGCAGAACGGAAGACTAGGAACTAACTTCACTGTTACATAACCTCTCTTGACACTCTCACTGTTACTGAGATGCTAGGCTGTTTAGTTGACAACCTGGATGAGTAGAAATGTCCTCCAATTAGACACAGGGAGACCTGAAACCATTATTTTCGAGATACCAAGGTGTAGAGCTGG